AAAAAAAAAAAAAAAAAATTAGTGGCAAGCTCAAATAAACGATCTCTGTCCTGAGTCCTAACCCAGAGACCACATGGTCAGTGTAATTGTGGAAAGCTCAAAATCAACAAATACTTTGGAGAAGGTGTTGAAAGCCACAGAAGGCCGTGCCTCCCTCCTTCCAGTGGAGAGGCCCCTAGGGTTCACAGTGGAAACTCCCCAGGGGAAGATCAGACCCTTCCTGAAGGCATGGCGTCCCTTGCTGAGGCCACAGATGTAAGTGTGTGCAGGGGGTGGCCAGGGGAGAGAAAGGCCCCAGTTGAGGAGTGAAGGAGGGGAAAAGGAGCCCCTGTGTTCATTTCCCTGGAAGGGGGAGCCTCAGTTCACTCACACATGTAACACTAATAATGGTCCTGAGAAGCGGGTGACATTTAGGAAAGCAGGAACCAGGGAAGGGGTCACTAGTGCTGTCATGATGCCCTTTCTAAATCCTCCTGCTGCCACCCTGGGCCATGGGAACTCTTATTAGCAAATGAGTTCTTTAGAAGTGAAAGCGTCCGCAGCAGGGAGGCTTCTGATGTGGGCTGTGTCCTGTCCCTGTTCTGTCTGGGAAGACAGTGACCTCCCCGTTCTGTCTGGGAAGACAGTGACTGTTTGCCTTGTGTTCAGGAAGAAGACACGTGCAGACCAGGCTGGTAGAGCCTCAGGCCTCAGCGCTCAACAGCGGGGACTGCTTCCTCCTGCTCTCTCCCCACTGCTGCTTCCTGTGGGTAGGAGAGTTCGCAAACGTCATAGAAAAGGCGAAGGTTGGTATCTGGAAACTAAAAATGCTGTAGCAAATGTCCCCTTTACACACTGGTAGAGTGTTCTTCCTGATGTCGGTCACAAAGCTTCTCAAACGCCAGGTGTTGCGTTCAAGTGAGAAGGGATAGGTGGTATTTCTTTTCCTGAATGTCTCTCAAACAAGCTTTCATTACATGTTTGAGTGGGATGTTTTAGGACCATGACCTACACCACCAGCGTTTAGGTCCTGGGTTCCTTCTTACTCCTGTGTAAGAAAAGGAACTGGCCCCACTTTGAAGTCCTTTATCTCAGGTCACTCTGAAGTTCCTCCATAGACCTATTAAATGAGAATGTCATGGGGTAAAGCCCAAAGAATGAGTGCTTCTTAAAAGCGTCACATGTGACCTATTGAAGATGGAGAATTATTGCTCTAAAGAATTGAAGCTCCCTGGTCTTTCAGTTACATTTTCTTGAGGTCATTGAAAATACCCAGTAACCAGCATCCACCCACCCCCGTGGTCACGAGGCTTTCCTTTCAGGCGCACTCTGTTTCCCTCTCTGGTTTTGACATGTGCCACTCTGTCTAGCCAAGGGCTTTTCTACCAGGTCATGCGTTCCTCTCTTTTTTTAGGCTTCAGAACTTGCAGCTTTAATTCAGACAAAGAGGGAACTTGGTTGTAGAGCTACTTATATCCAAACCATTGAAGAAGGAATTAATACACACACTCATGCAGCCAAAGGCTTCTGGAAGCTTCTGGGCGGCCAAACCAGTTACCAGTGTAAGACTTTATTGTACTTCAGAGATTGACAAAATGTGAATCTTCTTTCTTCTCCCTTAACTCATTCTAAACTAGCTACTTTGCAATGGAAAATGTGATGCTCTCCTGTTGTTCTTATCCCTAAGCTGCTGGAGACCCAAAAGAAGATGAACTCTGTGAAGCAGCCATAATAGAAACTAACTGCATTTACCGCCTCATGGATGACAAACTTGTGCCTGATGACGACTACTGGGGGAAAATTCCAAAGTGTTCCCTTCTGCAGCCCACAGAGGTACAGTCTGTGGGCTCTGCCCTTCAATGACAAAGCACATCAAAAGTACTTGGCACAGGCTGCCCAGTAAATTAGATAGCAAGTTTCCAATAAGGTTAGCCAGTGTCAGTACTCATTGTAGATCATTTACAGCTTTTCAAAGGATATTTGTGATTTCAACACATCACTGAAATCTTAAATGCTAATATGGAATCCAGAATATTGTTCAGACAGCATGGACCATTGAAGACTTTTATGTCTTAAGCAAAATGTAAATATTACTTAGCCCTGTCTCTTGCACTTTGCATAAACATTATAATAAAATATTTTTCAGTCCTTAGTTTGAGGAATAATAGATGCATGTATGTATAATTTGTGGATTTGCCAATTAATGTGCTGCTTTTGTCCTGTCACGCCAGTAAATACTGGTTAATCACATACATTTCCAGTCCCGTTAAGTCTGCTAAGTGTCGAGAAGGTGGAAGACACACAAGGCCCTTCAGTGTAACTGGGCAGAAGAGCGTTAGGAGGAATGTCATCTGGAGCGAGGGTGGCTGTGTGATATGTATTGGCATTTACCTAGGAAAAATGTCACAGAAAAAGAAATCTTCAGGAACAATTTTACATAGAAAGTGAAACTGAGCTGAGTTTAGAGTTAAGCAAAATTTGAATTGCTGGAAATGAAGGGAGAAATCATTCTAAGAGAAAGAATAAAAGGAACCATGAAAATAGAAATAGCACTACGTTCAGGTATTCATTCAGCAAACACTTAGTAATCAACCCCTCCTGTGTGTATTGCTATGATCTGATCCTTGCCCTTAAGGATCTTGGAATTGTGTACAGGAGAGAAGATATCATTGGACCCTCAGTGCCTGGTGTGTGAAGGAGCCTTTGTGTATATATTAAGTGGATGAGTGAGCACATGAGAGAGGGAGGAACGGGAGAGGGGGAGGAAGGAAAGAACTTAGGAAGACATGCTTACACAACTCTTGTGGATCACAAGAGGAGGGAACATTATCTCGGCCACTTAGGACACTGGGAGGAGGAATCACGCCCCCGGGGCAGAGGCTGGCTTGGTGGGGCAGTGCCAGCTGAGATCTCATGGCCTTTTTGTGTCTGTACCGGTCGCCCCCTTAGGATTTCTGTCTTCCTGCGTTTGACTCGCTGGCAACAGAGACCCTGATTCAACTGTTGCACGTTCTTGAAGTTAACAAATTCTTTTGTGCCATTTCTCCCAGGTACTGGTGTTTGATTTTGGTAGTGAAGTTTACGTGTGGCATGGGAAAGAAGTCACGTTAGCACAATGAAAAATAGCATTTCAGCTGGCAAAGCACTTATGGAATGGAACGTTTGACTATGAGAACTGTGACATCAATCCGCTGGATCCTGGAGAATGCAATCCGCTGATCCCCAGGTACCCCTGCCACCGCCCAGGATGGCAGATTCCATTCGATCCTCTGTTCTCACCGCAGTCCTCTACTCTCGCTCTTTATAGGGTTCACTTTTCATAAACCATTATATGCAGTGGACCGTGAATATTCACAGAAGGAACACTTCTTTTACTTTTATCCAACTACTGCAGAAATATGGATGCTGTAGTCTTCTGGAAGAGGTTTATGTGATAGTTGATTTTTTGAAGTGAGCAGGCGATGCTGCAAGTTCCCACCTGCGGCACTCCAGGTGCTGCTGTGGCAGATGAACAGCAATTGTTTAAACAAATCACATGCGGATCTAAAAGGCTTCACCAGATCTGGAATTCAGCCACTGATGTGAAGGTGCAGAAGCAACATGCTTCTTCTAATTCACACCTTCCCAGCATCGCCCTGGAATTCCAGGATTTATTTGGCAGCAGATGATGTTGATGCCTTTCCGCCTTTTGGGAAGGGAAGACGGGGAGGAGATGGCATTAAAATAATGACTGTGATTTTAATGTTTCCCACATGTACTGGACTCTTTAAAGTCATTTTGGCAATTCAATAGAATATGCGAAAACTCTAAAATTATGATTATGAAACAAAGAATTCTTACAGGCAAAGCACTGTTGTTTTTTTAACTATCAGACCAAAAAAGTAGTGCTTTTTAACTATATGTGTCATTATAATAGATTAGAAATTAAAGGATTCCACTATGTTGGCCGGGATGGTCTTGAACTCCTAACCTCAGGTGATCTGCCCGCCTCGGCCTCCTAGAGTTCTGGGATTACGGCCGTCAGATCTACCTTTTTCTAAATTATCTGTGTTCTTGGGCACAGCACAGAATCTGAAATCCCAAGCCCGCACAAGAGCTCCAGGTGGGGCTGTGCTGTTGTCTTTCCTGTCTCTCTGTGCTGCCCCCAGCTGCTGCCCTGGCCAGTGACCTAGAAATAAGTGTGCAGAAACACACTTTGTGATCTATGAGTGTGTCCGTTTCAGTGACAGGAGATCTCTGTACTCTGGAGAGCTTAGCTGAAACATGACATAAAATGTAGAGAATTGGGGGAGGGGAGCTGCCTGTTCCCTACATCTGCTAATTAATTGAAGGGAAACTTGGTGAGTGTCTGCAGGTGACTGGGTGGCATAGATCAGATGATGAGTAAGGTTTGCCCACAGCTCCTGCCATTGCTGTGGCAAATACTAAGTAGTATCCTAAGGACAAGAATTTGCTAGAATGTGGCCAGATACAGGGGCCCACGCCTGTAGTCCCAGCACTTTGGGAGGCTGAGGTGGGAGGACTGCTTGAAGCCAGAAGTACAAGACAGCCTGAGCAACGTAGTGAGACCTGATCTCTATTAAAATATTAGCCAGGCGTGGTGGCACATAACTGCAGTTCCAGCATTTCCAGAGACTGAGGCAGGAGGGTCACTCCAGCCCAGGAGTTTGAGGCTGCAGTGATCTACGATTGTGCGACGGCACTTCAGCCTGGGTGACAGAGCAAGATCTTATCTCAAAAAAAAAAAAAAAAAAAAAAAAAAAAAAAAAGAAAAAAAAAAAAAAAAAAAAGAACTTGCTAGAATGTAAGAAAAGCCTAGTCCTGACATGGTTCATGTCACATTCAGGCACACCAAAAACTCCATGGATGCAAAGGTTTGCAAAACTTCAGACTAAAATAACAAAATGTCGTTATTTGGTAAAATGCAGGAAAATAAACCATTTGTTCTATATACCGCTTATGTGCTTTGAGGTTTTCTCCAGTAGCCGCTGTGTTTTAGATTCCTTTGTTTAACTTGGCTTAATCTTGGTTCTTTTCCTGTTTATTCTCCCAACCCCCCAACCCCCACCCTGCAGAAAAGGACAGGGGCGGCCCGAGTGGGCGATATTTGGGAGACTTACTGAACACAATGAGACGATTTTGTTTAAAGAGAAGTTTCTGGATTGGACGGAACTGAAGCGACCACATGAGAAGAACCCTGGGGAGCTTGCCCAGCACAAGGTATCCCAGCGACCAGGTCTCAACCTCGGGGCTTGGTTCGGGTCCCAGCAAAAGTGGCCTTGATGTAAAATGATCAAATCATGTAGTTCGTGTGGCCATCACCTCAGATTTATCATTTCTTTGTGGTGAGAACATTCAAATCCTCTCTTCTAGCTGTTCTGAAATATGCAATACAGTGTTGGGGACAGTTGCCTTTCGTGCCGTAGAAAAGCAGCTTGTTCCTCGCTCTGATTGTCACTTTGTGCTGTTGGCCAACATCTCCCAACCCTCCCTCTGCTCCCTCCTTCCCTCACCCCCTCCCCATAAAACAGATGCCTGTATCAGCATATCAAATTGTACACATAAAAATGTGTCAACTAAAATACTTTTTTAATCAACATAAACACACACACCCTTAAAGCTGGGAAGCCTTCCCTGGACTCACGAGAACAGCAGACTGGCCTCCAGTTCTAACCCGACTCCGGGAGGTGAAGAGTCTGGTTTGCACCTGTTCTCGGGCATCCATGTGCTGTTGTGGCGATGGGTGTTCAGACCTCCCAGAGTCTTCCTGGAAATGCAGCCTTTCCCACACTGCAGTTAAGCATCCTGGGACAGAGTGTGGAAGCTGTATTTTTATGCTGTCGCATGAACAGTTGAAGCAGCTTTGAGTGTGACAAGGAATGGCTGTGGAAACAGGCAACCTCCATGTTCCCCTGTAGGAAGACCCCAGGGCTGACGTCAAGCCGTACGACATGACGCGGATGGTGTCCATGCCCCAGACGACAGTGGGCACCATTCTGGACGGGGTGAACGTCGGCCGTGGCTATGGCCTGGTGGAAGGGCAGGACAGGAGGCAGTTTGAGATCACCAGTGTCTCCGTGGATGTCTGGCACATCCTGGAATTCGACTATAGCAGGCTCCCCAAACAGAGCATCGGGCAGTTCCACGAGGGGGACGCCTATGTGGTCAAGTGGAAGTTCATGGTGAGCACGGCAGGTTAGTGAGCGCTCGTGGTTTCTTCCAGTTGAAAGAGGCTGGCTGGCAGCCCTGCGGGAGCCAGCTTCCCCAGCACACCCTGTGTGCCCTCTGCTGTGTGCACACGTGCAGTGGGGCACTCCAGTCATGCGTCCTTGAGAGCCACTAAGTAAACCACAGAGGGGGAAAAGAAGTCAGGCCGAATCCCTAACAGCCTAGCCTTGCTGAGGCCGCTGATGTTCACCTGTAGAAATTGACTTGCACGTCAAGGCTTCCTGGCTCCCTCTCTCCCTTCCTGTCCCTGTCCCCAGAGCTGTTCTGGGAAAGCGATGATTGGCCTCTGAGTGATATTTCTCATGTGCCTGTGTGCTGCTTCAATTAAAGTCGTTAAGTAGAGAATATCTTTGTGATTTAACGCTGGAACCAAATG